TTGAGAATTTGTTTGTGGAAACTCATTTGTGCTTCTTCTTTTACCTTATATAAGTGTGAAATACACCTACCCATTTTCTATAGGTTTTGGGATATATAAGGACATTCTATCAACTCTTCTTTATCACTCATTTGCATTCTATGCCTCTCCTTTCATCCATCATTTTGTACCATAAGGATTCATTTTTTAACCTTTCCAAATATAATTTGATCGTACTTGAAAAGTAGTACATACATTACTGAAGTCTATATTTCAATTTATTTTAAATTGCCTTTTTTTTTCTTGCCATCCAATCACCCATCATGGCCATCCATTTTTTCCTTTACTTTTGGGTATGAAATTATTTTAAGCATAGAATCCATGAACTATCTTTGAGATGTTTTTCAACTTTTATTTTTGTGGGAGTAGGCAAAAGTTGAAAAGCAAACAGCATAAGCATAGTCTACTTCAATGTTTAAATGAGTCTACTTTATGTAATGCAAATGTTGATAATCAATCACCGAAAATATTGACAAAGATAATATTACCCTCGTCCCATTTTAAATTGTCTGTTTACCTTTTTTCTTCGTCCCAAAATAAGTTGTCTGTTAGTTATTTTCGTAAACTTTTAAAAATGAAATACCTAAATTACCTCTAAAATAAGTCAATCTTCTCCATATTATATTCTCATTCATCATCACCCCTCCTAAAAAGTATTGATAATTTCGAAAAATTAACTCTATTTTTAATTTTCCTTAAATATTTCCAAAAGTCAAAACGGATGATTTAAAACGGGACGGAGGGAGTAATATGTTACTCCTCAACTTCTGTCGTCTCATAAAAGAGTCTACTTTAATGTTTAAAATTTTTAAATCTCAATTTAGGGTAAATTTCACCCATGATATACGAACTTTTATCATTATTTTACTTCGGTATATAAACTTTAATTACTATCACAAAAATACACGAATTTTCAACATTCTTTAATTGGTGGTCCAATATGCGGTTTCTAAATCACTTTCCAATCATTTGAGGTCAAATTGTAATTTTATAAATTTAAATTTTATGATTTTGACCCCTTTTTTCTCTTGGTTCTCCACCCTTTTCTTCATCTTCTTCAAACCCCCTACCCTCTCCCTCCATTTTTTCTTCTCTTCCTCTTCCAGCCCCACCCCACCCGCACCATTTTTTATTTTCTTCCCCTCTTCTTCTAGAAGAAAGAGGGGAAGAAAAGAAAAAATGGTGCGGGTGGGGTGGGGCTGGAAAAGGAAGAGAAGAAAAAAATGAAGGGGAGGGTGGGGGGTTTGAAGATGATGAAAAAAAGGGTGGAGAACCAAGAGAAAAAAAAGAAAAGGAGTCAAAATCATAAAATTTAAATTTATATAATTAAAATTTGACCCCAAATGACCTGAATGTGACTTAGAAACTGTCTATTGGACCACCGATTAAAGAATGTTGAAAGTTCGTATACTTTTGTAATAGGAATTAAAGTTTATATACTGAAGTGAAATAATGATGAAAATTTGTATACCATGGATGAAATTTAATCACTCAATTTGAGTAAGAGTTGCCCCCTTCTTTTAAGTCATAACATGACAACACTAATTGGAGCACCAATAGTGATATGCTCGTAAAATTGATGGTTTAACTCCTCCATTCCGGTCTGATCCAAACCAACCCATTCAAATTTTTTTTCCCAACTTTATTTAACCCGAAAAGTCAAATACTACCTCCGTCCCAATTTATAACGCCTGTTTCGGTTTACGATGTTTGACTGAAATTATTTTTAAACCATTTTATATGACAAATAGTATATAATTAAAAAATAAAAATTACATATTAAAAAACTACATCAAAAGATCTACAAAACTAGTAGTGACAATAATATTTTATTTTATCAAATTGCTAACGAAAATAGTGAAAGAAAGTGAATGAAGTTTGACCCTGTGAATAGTAAACAAGCATTATAATTTGGAACGGATGGAGTAAATTTGTAAGATAGAATTGAAGAGGTAGGAAGAGGGCACAAAGTTGGTTTGGGTTGGGGAATAGGAGTCATCAATTTTACGATCGGAACACTAATGATGCTTGGCTTAAATTTCCATATTATGAAATTATTATGAGTGAGGTTTTGTTGATACTCGTCAATAGTGCCACTACATTTTTGGAGCATCTCCAATGTTCCAATCGGAAAATTGATTGGAGGGGGGCTTACGGCAAGGCTGGGGTGGGACGGTAGAGTTGGGGCTAGGGTGAGAGGTTTAGGAGTGGGTTATGGGATAGGAACCATCAATTTTCTAATTGAAGCACTGGAGATGCTACAAAAATACAGTAAAATTGCTAGTGTCACCGTTGGCGAGAGTATCAACAGAACCGTGCCCAATTATTATTTGTTATCAAAAGAAGGGAGTGTTTGAGTAAAATTCAATCCCTCAATATTTTTCATAAACTTCCTAAAATAAAACCAAAATTTTTTTAGACAGTAGTAGTACTATACTACTATGCACGCCTGTCTATACACTTCCAACTTCCATGGCTATGTGCATAGCTAAATATGAAGTCCTAACGGTTAAAATTTACTTAATAACTCAACTTAATGTAAAAAGTAAACTTTCAAAACGATTTTTTTTTTGCAATTCTGTTACCATAAAAAGCACTAAAGCTCGTAGTAATTATCATAATTTTTAAATGAAATGAACCAAAGTTTCAAATGAGAAAAAAAATTCAGAAAAAGTCCAGTGTGAAAACATATTTTAAACCCTACTTCGTTTTGTATGGAGTAGTTTGCTTTTTAAATTGGCATTAAATTTGTTATCTTTTACATGATTAATAATACTACAAAACTATGAGAATGATATACGGAGTATATATTTAAATGTTCAAAAAAAAAAAATTGATCTTAAAAATTTCAAATAGTAAGAATAATAAACCTATACAAATATTGGACCCTATAAACCCTTAAGGCCGGCTCTATTCCAGCTAAAACTTTGCAAACAAAACCTTAGATGATTAATAATTTTCCCAATAAAACCCATAGGATTGATAATTAATTTGCAGGGGGGGGGGGGGGCTTTTG